TATTTTACTACGAAGGCAAAAGTTTTCTTTAAAGACAACTGAATTTTGTTTTTTGTTGTGGAACCATCCTCTTCTCCTTTGCATCTAATAAAGAGGATGTGTTTTCTCAGTCTTGTTTTCCTCTCATACATAAAGAATATATTGTCCCTTAGTGTATTTCACCTTGCAGTCACCATATGTTTCCTGGTTTTATCTTTTCATGCCATCATTGATATGCCTTATTTCTGGTTTAATGCTTACTCTAATTCCTAATCTTTACTCTTGGACATTTCCAATGTGAAGCTCTGTGTAGCTACCTGGGTTTCATCCTGTTCTCTTCATCCTCTTGCCATCCTTATAAGTATTGTTGCTTTAACAAATAATCTAATTTTCATGGGTCCTTCCACTTACAGGTCATTTCCTTATATTTAAATCACTAAAGTCAACTTTCCTGAAATTCATTACCTTTAGGTTGCTGTTTCCACTTCTTTGATAGTCTTTGTGTAAACATCAATCTTTAAGTGCATTTTCTTAATTAACTGAAGTGTTCACTTAAGAAATAGCTCCAGTTTACAGGTCAAAAGTCAGAAATAGCTAAATACTAGTACAATCTCACCTCCCTTTTTGCTCTGTCTCCATTTTTGTCTCTCTCCACAGACCCTACTCACAGGTATTTCTGCCTGACCATGTTCAGGATATACTCTCCCACCATTGAATTAATTGACTGTAAGATATATTTAATCTCTCATTGAATATATAGTTTTGTCCAATATACACTTAACAGCAAGTCCTCAATATGATCAGTAGGTTCTTGGAAATTGTGACTTTAAGCAAAACGATGTATAACAAAACCAATTTTACCATAGGCTAGTTACTATATAAACAAGAGTTAAGTTGCTATGGTATGTTTATGGTCACAGAAACACCACCAAACTTCTAAAGAAAGAACCAAAACACTTCTAATATTAAACACTGAAATAAATGTGAGCTACACATACATTTAGGAAAGATTAACACAGACAAGGAAGATAATTATCCAATTTTTGGGTCATCAGTGAGTGACAACAGTCACAGTGGTGGTGATGAAATTAGTGAATAAATGCTTGCAACTTGAAAATTGTCTGGAGCACCTCCTACCACCACACAGTTCAAAAACAAGCAATAACACATATCATAGGCTTGCTGAGTGCTTTCATACCACATTGTTTATTGTTATGCATTTGTATGATTATTGTATATGTTACAAATTTTTGTTTTGCAATCATTTATACTCATTCACTCAGTCATTCATTCATTTTCCAAATTGTTTATTCCAGTTAAGGATGACAGATGGCCAGAGTCTCTCCCTGTAGCTCAGGGTGCAAGGTGGGAACCAGCCCTGGACAGGACACCATCTCATCCCATCACAGGGCACACTCACACTCACTCAGATTGGGACCATGCAGACATGCCAATTCACCCAGTGGGCACAGCTTTGAGCTGTGGAGGGAAACCAGAGTGCTTGGAGAAAACCCATGCAGCCAGGTGTTGGGGAACATGCAAACGTGCAAACTCCCAGAAGACAGTGGCCCCAGCCAGGAATCAATTTATTTTTTCTCAACAATGTTATAATGAAACAATATTGAACAAAACAACTTAATGCAGGACCTACTGTGGAAGGATGGTTAGTGACTCTTCAAATTCATTATGACTTCTTATCGTGACAACTAAAACCTGGGAACCTCTGTAAGAGACCGTTAAGTTGGTCAAAGGGCAAGTTAGCTGTGATTTGAGTGATTTGGGGCAACCTGAAAAATACAGGATAAAATAGGAAAGATACACAGCCTTAATGTATTAATGAAAGTGGATTTATTATGAATGATACTCACTACAATGATTAATTAAGCTAATCCTTTATTATGTGCTCTGCTGATCACCATCAAGAATGAAAATACATGTTTGCTCTGTTTTCAATTAAAATGTGTGGAATTACAGAAATTTGAGAAAATGAAAGTTTGACTTTTACAAGGTCCTTCAACCATACTTAATCACTTTGCTGACTTTTCTTCATCTTTCTGCATCTCAGTTCCTTATCTGGAAAGTACAATAAACTTTCCTGTGTTGGTGATGATAGATGGTATAACAATCTTCTTTTGCAGCTGAATTCTCCAAGTCAATACCACCTTCTGCCCGATCCATGATTCAGCTCTATTTGACAGTTCAACACTAGCTAATACAATTGTTTCCTTATTAAATGTACTGACCCCTGTGTTCTCTGAATTTCTTTAAATAACTTTAAAGAAACCATAAAGTACTCAATAAATAATTTTTCCAAGAAATGTATTCTCAAAGTGATTATACCTGTGTATGAATTCATTTATAAAACTGCTTTTCTTTCAAGCTGACATGAGAGTCCTAGGAAACAGGGTCAGGCAGGAATGAGAAGAAGAGACATCATCTTTATATCATGATTGATAACTGTATCTTGAATAAATCCAAATACATATTAGGAAGCATCTATCACAAGTTTCTGTTTATTTGAACATCAGAGTTTTCTAATATATTTAAATATTCTTTTTTAAAAGAATTTTATTTATAAGCAATTTCAAGATTGCATCTATTCTATAAACTACATGAGATGAGGTGTTTTTATACATGACTATTTGATAGTGAACACGACCTGAAAAAGAACTTGGATCTGTAGCATTTCCACTTTCAACCCTCTCAGGATTAAGGTTTATCTCTTAATTCTGATGGAAATCTCCTGTGCATTGAATAAAAGTGGTGAGTGTTATTCTATGTGCTGGGAAGCTAGCTTCATAGAATTATATTAGTAATGAGGTATTACATTTATGCATCAAAAGTTTGGAAGCTGACTTTTCTAATAACTTTTTTACAGTATACTTAGTAATCTTAATATAATCAAAGAATTGGCCTCTGATATTAACTATGTTCTACTAAACTATAAAACACACTCAGGTGAAAATTACAAATATGTTCTATACTAGATTTTTGACATAAATGATTAATTCTCATAACTCTGCCAAACAGGTATTTTATCCTCCTTGAACTGATGAAGAAATAGCTCTTGCCAAAGCCATATGGTTAGGCAACAGCAGAGGTAGATTTTGCACCCCGCTGTGTCTGATGCCAAAGCTTTTCACTATATCATGCTGCCTTTATTTTCAATTAAGTTTAGGATTCCCCCAAGTTAATGAGAAACACACATACCATAAATTAAAATCAACAGTACATTGAAAGCCTGATTTTAACTAACAGCTTTTGGGCAAAACATTTTTCTAATGTTAATACGAAAAACATTGACTCATCTAACTTGCTTCTTCCATTGCCCCTCCCTCTATCATCCAACCCCATTAGGATGCTGCTAAGCTCTGATATGAACAGAAGGTAGACAGTAGTCAGAGAAAGGAAAGAAACAGAGGGCCTGAATTATCTACAAACTGTGTAACCAGCTCCCAAACCATCAGGAGTGAACTTAATTAAATGGTTTGTTTAAAGTGTGTCTAAAAAGGGAAAATAATTCATTTTTAATTAGGACAATCTTTTTTTTTGGTAAATGGTAAAGTACTTAAATCACAGTATTATTTTTAGACATCTCCTCACTTTAAATAATTTAGAAATTCAATTATAATCATTTGCAATAAACCACTTAAAAATACTTAAGGTTCTTCTTGAAACTACCTTGTCTGCTTAAAATATATATTATATATTTACATAAACATATATTTATATGTTTGCTTAAGAAAATTATATTTATATATTAGTATATTATGTTTATATATTTTTTAACAGACAAGGTAGTTTCAAGAATATATATCAGATAATCAGCCTAAATACAAAATGGTTAAGAGACATTTCTGTGTCACTATTTTTACTCAAAGTTTTTGTTTTGATCTGTCAAAAAGTTTTGGGGAGCTCTGTGGATTTTCAGAGCTCATTATCTTATTTCATAGTGATATTAGCTTCATTTTACTATGATAGTGAGGCATTTGATGGCTGCTATCAATAGGATCTGTGTTCATCCACAGAGACACTTCAAATGAAGTGAAAAACATTTGCGGATTACAGTATGTTATGATAGTGAATGATTTTAAAAGATGTCAAGTTCTGCTTAATGAGTTTTATATGAAATAGCATTTACATTAGGGGAAAGTTTGGGGGAGGTAAAAGATGTAAGTCATCAGAATTTCATTTATTTTTAAATACAATTAAGCTCTCGGAAAGCATCAGCACTTTAACTCTGAAATATCTCTTTTAAAGACATTACTGAAATATCATTATTACCATTTTTTTATTTTCTAATACATCCCTGAAAATGAGTTCACTTTAATAAGTGGAACGATTTATGAAGCAAAATAGGCTATAAGTACACAAGAAGGATAAAATATTTAATTGCACTAATTATACTTTCATGATACACCATTGTTTCTGACATATATGTTTACCACATTTCTAAACTTCTATAATAATACTGTGGTAAGAGATGTTCACGTGTATCATAACTACCCATAGCCACAGTTCACACATCTTTTTGCCACAGGAAAATTAGAGGACAATATATTCCCTTCCAATCATACAAAGTAAAATGCATGTACTTGTGAACGTTATATTAATACTGTATTGAATGGCCGGGCACGGTGGCTCAAGCCTGTAATCCCAGCACTTTGGGAGGCCGAGGCAGGTGGATCACGAGGTCAGGAGATCGAGACCATCCTGGCTAACATGGTGAAACCCCGTCTCTACTAAAAATACAAAAAACTAGCCGGGCGTGGTGGCGGGCGCCTGTAGTCCCAGCTACTCGGAGGCTGAGGCGGGAGAATGGTGTGAACCCGGGAGGTGGAGCTTGCAGTGAGCCGAGATCGGGCCACTGCACTCCAGCCTGGGCCACACAGCGAGACTCCGTCTCAAAAAAAAAAAAAAAAAATACGGTATTGAATATAATAGCATCCATTTACACTTTGGTTGAGAGTTGAGACATCTGCCTTAGGAGTCACTGACTCAGTACCAGATTCTTTTCAGTCTTTTTTTTTTTTTTTTGAAAGCAGTCAGAATGATCTTACTGAAATTTTTTAGTACAATGTTAGAGGATCTTAAAATTTTATATTTTAAACCAATACAAGCACTGCAAATGATATATTCCTGAATCTAGTTGATGTAGTATCTAAAAAGAAAAGCGACCATATGAATATCTATAAGTTGACTAATGTAATTTAAGTTGGAGGCTAAACAACTTTGGTATATTCATATTTCTCTGGCTCCTGTTTTTGGCCAGATAAATGCCAAGTCCACCCCCATTCAGTAGAATTGGACAGGACCAATGTATTTAGTGGTCTCACTTAAGTTTCCACGCCAGGAGCAGCAAGAAATGTACAACTTCTGGGATTAAGTTGCTCCAAGACAGTCTTCATCACCTTTGTGAACTGGAAAAAACAAATAGTCAAGGTCTGAATTTCCAATGTGTGTGGCTAAGTCCAGTCTCATTAGTTCATAAAAGTATTCTGAAGGACTTTAAAATACAAAGGTGGGGCTAAATAATGATAGAAACCATCAGTTCTTAATTCAGAGAATGATAATGCAGGTTCCTATATCCTTTGTAAAAATCTGAGATCATTATTTTAAAACTAGCTCTATACATTCTTAGGCTTTAAATTTAATGTTAGCTGAAATGATTACTTTTAAGTCAATTGGCTTTAGGCCTTGGTGATTGCTCAATATAATTTTGGAATTTTAGGAAGCAGCATTTCAGGTAAGTGACAGTTACGTTTTAGAAAAGGTAATTTTAAAAATGATCCAGAACTACACTGCTCTGATATGTCTGATGTATACCCCCCAAAATGTGTCAGTGTCCATATTAAGCTAAATAAAATTTGGTCCAAATTAAGCACAATAACCAAGATGGTTTATCTGAAACTGAGTTACCAAAAAAAAAAAGGAAAAAGACAAAGAAAAATCCATGGTATGAGAATTATAAATTTTCCAAGGTTCACTCCAAAGTAAAAGGCTAATTAATTCTATACAGGGTTTTACCCAAATGTCCATAGGCATTATCATATATATTTACACAGAAGGCTTTAATCTGAAGTCACCTTTGGCAACCTCGAAATATATAAACTATGACTTCCACAATGAAATTATATACTTGAAAGTCGTCGCCTCAAAGTACTGAAAGAACAAAGGAAGAGATCACATGTACCCGTTAAAAGTCAAAATGACAAAAATGTTTCTCATTTAAGACAGTTCACTTAAAGACCAAATAACCACCACCATTTCCCCAAAAACTGGAAAGAAATGATCTTGAGCTTTAGAACGGGAAACAATAAATCTTAGCACATACAAAGATCGGATGCTTTTGCCAGTGATTAACCTATCATTGCTGAGTACCCACAGCTAAACATCCAGAAAACAAAAACAAGTCAGAAGTCAGAGTAGGCTTGCTGGTCACTTCCCATTCTGGATTTAGAGCGGGGCATGGCTGAACAGGGAGGACACGGATTCCCCATTGTGTGCCCTTCGGATTGCTTCGGCCAAGATCATGGAAATGTCAGTGACCTGAATCTTGGTGCAGTGTTTCATTGTGTCCTCTTGCGGAATTGTGTTTGTGACGACCACAGCCTCAAAGGCAGCATTATTTATTCTGGAAATAGCTGGTCCAGACAAGATCCCATGGATAAGGACAGCATACACTTTGGTGGCTCCAGCTGACAGCAGCTTGTCCGCGGCATGGCAGACGGTGCCGCATGTGTCAGCCATGTCATCCACGAGGATGGCCACGCGGTCCTTCACGTCGCCCACCAGGACCATCCGGTCCACTTCATTCGCCTTCTTCCTCTCTTTGCGGATCAAAGCAAATTCCACATTCAACCTGTCTGCGATTGACGTGACCCTTTGGCTCCCCCAGCATCACGTGAAACAATGATATACAGTTCTTCCACTCAGCAATGTTTTCCCGAATCCACTGCAGGACTGCGGGCTCCGCATACAAATTATCCACAGGAATATCAAAGAATCCCCGTATCCGAGAGGCATGCAGGTCCCTGGTGTCGATGTGATCCGCCCCAGTCACCGACAGCATATTGGCCACAAGTTTTGCAGAAACTGGGGCACGACTCTTGTCCTTTTTATCTTGTCAGGCATATGGGAAACACGGGATCACGACAGTCACCCTGGATGATGATGCGATCTTGCAGGCATTGATCATGATGAGGAGCTCCATCAGGTTGTCGTTCATTTCCCCACAGCGCTCTGCATGATGTAGACATCGTCCCCTCTCACACTTTCACCAATCTCCACGCTGGTCTCCTGGTTGCTGAACTTCTTGGTGACCACCTTGCCCAGTTCCAGGCCCAGGCAGTTGGCCACGCGCTGGGACTGGTCCTGATGCGAGCTGCCCCAGAACAGCACGATGTTGGGCATGGTGGGGCGCGGGACTCCCAAGGGCACACGGCGGCGGAGGAAGTGGAAGAGGCAACAGCGACGCGGAAGGCTGCTGCTGCTTTTTCCAGTCTTATTTCAACTTCACTAATATTGGATCTTGGATGCAAGATAATTAATTGTTAGTTCTTTGGGAAAAGTGTTTTCCAGGAGAATGACCTATCCAAAAAATACAAAAGGACAATGCTACTAAAAATAAGTGAGAAAAAAATGTATAATTACCTTCAAATATTTTTAGAGAATGCTTTGTTTTGTTAATTACCCCAACTCTAATTTTAATGGAAATTGATGACTATTGATTGATGCTGTCACTTTCATTTCCTTTCAGTATACTAATGGATGAAAATAAGTATTGAAAATATTCATTTCTTCAGGCTCAAAATATAGTTGACCCTTGATTAGCTCTTGAATTTCTCCATGACGCCTATCTTGAAACCATTCACCTCCTCTGGCCACTTTTTTGTTTTGTTTTGTTTTGTTTTTGCCATGACCACAATCATTTTCATGATTCCTTGATTGGCTCTGTCATAAATCTGGTAAAGTCATGCATATCTGGACACAGTTTTCTTCAGCAGGAATTTAGTGATTTCAGGCTTGATGGCATTTACAACTTTATTCTGTAACGATGGCATTTTCAAAGATGTCACCTTTCTAGACTTTCATGATGATCTCTCTCTCAGAGTTCTCTTCCATAGTGTTGACAATTCTTTCCATACAGTACTGAGCGTAATGAGCCTTAAAGGCCCTTATGACCCCCGATCTAAAGGCTGAATTAGAGACACTGAGTATGGGAGCAAGTCGACCACTATGGAACCTTCAGTGTTGAACTCATGCATTTTGGGTAGCCAGGGGCACTGCCCAATATCAAAAGAAATTTGAAAGACAGTCACTAGGCCAGGCATGGTAGCTCACATCTTAATCCCAACACTTTGAGAGGCTGAGGCAGGTGGATCACTTGAGGCCAGGAGTTCAAGACCACCTACTACAAAAACTAACAAGAATTAGCTGGACATGATGGTACACACCTGTAGTCTCAGCTACTTGGGAGGCTGAGGTGGGAGGATCACTTGAGCCCAGGAGTTTGAGGATGCAGTGAGCCATGATCATGCCACTGCACTCCAGCCTGGGCAACAGGGTAACAGAGCAAGACCCTGTTTCTTAAAAGAAAAAATAAAAGTCCTTTACTGGCAAGATACTTTCTGACTTTAGGAATAAAGCATCTTTGGAACCAATCCTAAAATAAAGTTCTTATTGTCCAGGCATTCTTGTTGTACAACTAAAAGACTGCCATCTGGTGTTAACTTTTCCTTTCAAGACTTCGAGTTTAGCAGCTTCATAAATTCAGTCCTCATCATAAACCCAACTGCATTTGCACAGAACAGTAGAGTCAGCCTGTCTTTTCCTGTCTTAAATCCCTTGTCTTCCTAATACATATCTTTTGTGACATTCTTTTGTCCAGAATAGGACACTTTTGTCTTCATTAAAAACCTGTTCTGGCAGATACCCTTTCTCCTTGTTGATTTTCTTGCTGGCATCTGGGAACCTGTCAGGAAAAGCTGCTTCTCCTGTTATGTTGACATTTTTTAAGACAAATCTCTTTCTAAAATTATTAAACCATCCTTTGCTGATAGTAAATTCTCCAGCTTTGATCCTTCACTTTCCTTTTTCTTTAAGTTGTTTTGTAGTGATCTCAATTTTTCTTCAATCATAGTAGAGTCTGTAGGTATGCCTTTCTTATAGTAATCCTGCACCACATAAAAGCTGCATTTTTGGTATGAGATAAAAAGGATTTTGTAAAAAGTACAAGGTTTTCTCACCTTCTGGTGTAACTACAGCAATGGCTTCACAGATTTCCCCCTTTTTTTTTTTTTTTTTTTACAATGGTCCTTAAGCAAAATTCATTTATCTTGAAATGGCAGGAAACCATATCTGCAGACCTCCGTCAATGGTACATATCAAGCAATTAAACTTTTTCTTGTAATGTCATGACATCTCTCTGCTTCTTGGGACCACTTCCAGCATCACTAGTGCCATTATATTTGGGTCCCATGGTGTTAGTCAAGGTTTACAGTGTTGTATTACATATTATGAAAAATATACCAGAACTAAGAGAGATCACTTTTTACTGCAATAAGCAACTTACCAGAGAGATGAACAGCTCTCTAGTAAACTGAATTAGTGTCACATGGCGTTTTAAGCATATACAACACTTGAGCTCATTGCAATAGTCATAGAAGGTGGTTACAAAATTATTACAGTAATATATACTACAGTTAATTTCATGCAGTTATGATTTAATACTGCATCTTTATGTTTTACATTTGTGGCACTACGTATGGAATGTGTTTGTTTGCATATGTTTTGATATATTTTAACTTTTTATAATAGATCTGTGTATATTTTATGGTAGCGTATAATAAAATAGACTGGTATCTATGCATATTTTATATATTCATCACCTATCTAACTTTTTCTTAATTTTTTGAAATTTCTAGGCTATATGGTTCATCTGCGAGGTTTTTCAAATTGTCCCATATCTCAAAAAAACTTTCTGATATATTTATTGAAAACAATCTGCATATAATTAGAACCAAGCAGTTCAAACCCATGTTGTTTAAGGGTCGACTGTGGATACTTGGTTTTAGGCCCAAGTACTGCACCCAAATAATGCACTAAACTTTATGTGTCTTGAGAACAGAGATACCACTCTTTGCTTTTTAAAAAAATTTTTCCTAGAGGCCTGCTAACATGAGATAGGCAATTATTATTTAGTTGAAGTAAGTAAAATTAAATATATAAACTTTGTAATCATTGTTTATGTTTCATATACTGTAGTCCTATGCAAAACTCATGAAGAAAAATTACTCTTCACCTCTTCATGATGTATACTTCACCATGAATTATAATTTTATAAGAAGTATAATTTCCTTATATATAACAAATTACTTTATACATGGATTTTTTTTTTTTTCTGAATCTTACAGTATTTCAGGAAAAGGGTTTCATTCCCAACTCACAACAGGGAAGATCAGCTCATCCTTAATTCATTAAATGCCATTTTTTACCCGCTTACATTCATCAAATTATAGGATTCATTATAACAGGGATGTAGAGTTATGGCTTTAGCTCTTTTTGTTCTAATCCTTTTTTCATGTATTCTTTCCTTTGATTTGCGACCTTCATTACCAAGAGAGTCACATAATGCGTTCAGTTCAGTTCCAGGAGGCTAAGCAGTCAGCTACTGCAGGAATTATTTCACATACCCTAGTTATTAATATGATTACTCAGAACACTTACATTAATATCCAAAGTATTCTAGCACTTTCAGAAAAAAACAGTGCTTCTTTATCACAACTTTTCCTTTCACTTAGAGAATACATTCTTAACTATTTACAATTCAAATCTTCAAGTGAAAATTCCTCAGCCAAGTGGAAATGCATTATAAAATGTTTGCTGAATACTTAGATCACCTAATCCAGGGCTTGCTTTACTATTTTTCTGATTATAAAATAATGTATTCTGATTTTACTAAATTTAGAAAATATAAAATAGTATAAATTAAATAAATCACCTATAATCATACATACCCAGAAATAACCATATTTTAATATGTTTCCCTCATTTTTTTCTATATATGTCAATGGCATTTTGTGTGTGCCAATTTAAATTCAGTCTGTATTAATAATTTTATATCATTTTTTCCACATAACATTGTATCTCACATAAGTACTTCCCATGTAATTATTTTTCAAACGCATTATTTTAATTTTAACACAACATAGATAGGCCATAATTTATTTTAATATCCACTTAACCACGCTCTACAAATGCAAATAAATACATATTGGCAGAAATCTGATACTGTGGTTGATGGGATTGGGTGAAAGTTAGGACAGGAGAGAAAAATTTTAAAGGGACACCAGGTAACTTTTAGAAATGATGGATGTCTTCATCATCTTGGTTTGGTGATGGTTTTATGGTACAAACATGTGAAAATGTATCAAATTTTATGAACTGTAAATATTCTTTGTTATTATATATCAACCATACCTCAACAAAGCTGATAAAAGAAGTTTTTTCAATTCTCTTATTGCAAGTAGGTTAGTTTCAATCTTTAGCTGGTATAAAGTGGTAACAAACATAATTCACTACGTTATTTCAAAAAGAATATAACTTTGAACATGTAAAGCTATTCATAAATTTGAGGCAGTGACATTTCAATTCCTGTGCAATTCATAACAGATTTCATAAATTACTTTTAAATTTACTGAAACTCATTTTACTAAAACCCTCACTAAACTTTCATAGATGTCCAGAGCATTCCACTTTACCCTACTGGTCTAAAAGTACTGGGGGCAAAATCAAGTAAACTATTAATTGCTGTCATTAAAGCTCGCACATTCATTGAAGACTTTCCAGGAGCCAGACACTTACTTATCAGCATTTTACACGGCACATCAATTATCTTCTTATTTGTTTCTTTCAATAAAAATAAGCACAATGATGTAAAAACATGACAATATTAAGTAATGAGATCAGTAGGAAGCTTGCCTAAAGAATTCAAAGTTCTTTAAAAATGTTCAGGATTGTCCTTGCAACTTCCTTACCTGCTCCCCTGGGCAGCCTGAAGCAGGGATGGGCCTTGTAGGGTCAAATGCTGACATGGTGGCCCACAGCTGCAGAAAGGCCAGGCCTGTAATCCCAGTACTTTGGGAGGCCAACGTGGGTGGATCATAGGTCAGGAATTCAAGATCAGTGTGGCCAACATGGTGAAACCCCGTCTCTACTAAAAACGCAAAAATTAGCTAGGCGTGGTGGCACATGCCTGTAATCCCAACTACTCGGGAGGCTGAGGCAGAAGAATTGCTTGAACCCAGGAGGCAGAGGTCGCAGTGAGCTAAGATCACATCACTGCACTCCAGCCTGGGTGACAGAGTGAAACTCTTCTTTACAAAAAAAAAAAAAAAAAAAATGGTTCTGGATTGTTCCTCTAGGTAGCAAGAAACAAAATCTCCAGAGGGTAGAATGGAAAAATGATGTATTCATACCATGAAATGCAATAAAAATAAACTAACTATTGATACCTGCGAAAACATAGATGATGAGCCTCTAAAACATTATGCTGGATGAAGAAAGTCAGACACAAATTAGTACATGTGGTATGATTCCATGCGTATGAAGCCTAAGGACAGGCAAAACTAATCAATGGTTACAGAAGTCAGAAAGCGGCTTTTCAATGGGGGTGGGGGGTGGAGGAAGAAATTAATTAAAAGGGGGCATGAAAAGAACATCCAGGAAGTAGCTGCAAGGTATATACAACTGCCGAAATATGCTATACATTTGAGACTATGCATTTCATCATATATTAGTTATATTTCATTACAGAAAACTAGGATAAAATAAGTCTCTAGGAAGCTAAGGGTTTAGCTCTAAAATGATTCCAATTCAATGCTCAGACCTTTTGTCTAGCATGACCCTTTCACTCCACAAAGTCTACAGGATATGAGGAAAACCATCAACACCTAGATGGCATATAACCAAGGATGATGCTGAGGAGAAAGGATTTCCTCTATCAAAATAAATAAAAGTAGATGAAGAAACTCATTGCAAATGCAAATACCCTATTTTGAAATAGGCTAATCAAATCATTTGTATATGTTGTTTCACCGCAGCAACCATTTAACTACATATATATATATATCTCATAACATCATGTTGTATACCTTAAATATACATGATATAGTTTGGATTTTTGTCCCCAACAAATCTCAAACTGTAATCCCCACTGTTGGAGGTGGGGCCTGGTGGGAGGGGACTGGATCATGGGGGTGTTCTCATAAATGGTTTAGCACCATCCCCTTATCCTTGGTACTGTATAGTGATAGAGTTCTCACAAGATCTGGTTGTTTAAAACGTGCAGCACCTCCCCCTTCTCTCTC